ACGTCGTGCTTGAGAATATTTCGCTCATATGACGACGTGCATGCGTGTGTATGTGTATGTGTGGCTGCTTGTACTAGCCCAGACTTAAGCTGGTTTTATAGTGCTAGCCCACTGAGACACCATGCCGCAGTGAAGCATGAATACCCCACTCAGACACATTATACTGACTCCGAACCGACCAGTCCTTGTTGTACCCATTAAAGCCGAGCGCCAGGCAGGGACCAACAAGTACCACATTTTAACGTCTTTTGGTATTACGCGGTCGGGGATCGAACCCGCGACCTTCCGCTCTCCGGGCGGACGCTCTAACCACTACACCACGGAGCGGTCGAAACAGGCACTAACCTAGAAATACATTTTCATAAATATGTCGATAGAAATATCACGACAGAATTTCGTTTCTTTGAGAAATTTAAATCATTCAATGTATAGGTGCACGTTACGTATGTCTCGGTTTGTACAGCTGCAAAAGAAAGTGTTTGGCAATGGCTTACAGACATTCGTCAGCACACGCATCTTTCTAAAAATAAGATGGCTTGTTCCAGAATGACAAGAGAGGTGACAAACGAGACACGTCTCAGCACATCCTCCTCCTGTGAAGGGCAATAACTAGACCAAGCAAAAAACATGAATGACGTTTTGTTTACAGATAACGTATGACAATGCAGATTATGCTGTTATGCCTTTCCCCTTTCATTCATTTCATCACATGTCGGTTTGGAGGTTCCGGTGAATTTGATATTGGCACGTATGTCCTGATGATGTCTGTCCAAGTTGTGCCAAGATGCGTTTATCATTGTTCGAATCACAAGTGTTTTTTAACAAGATTCAAAACCGTGACGGTGTGCGTTAATTTAGGCGTATTCCCAATGTGCCTAGTCCGAGTGCACCTAGATTAAAAATAGGGATAGACACGGTCTAATGCTCAGAAAGTAATGACGGGTGAACGCGACTGTTAGCTGTTTATCCTATCATATGGACTTGCCTATATTTAACAAAACAACGCACAAGTATTGGGATTCCCTTACACGGCTTCAAACACAACACACTCACTAACTCAGTCAGTATCATGCTAACTTCAAGCGATTCAGAATCAAGAGACATTGTTAGAAATAGGCCGACAAGGGAACCTTTGGTGAGTAGCCAGTTCCTGATGTGAAGCGGGTGTAATTCATTCATTCATTCATTCATTTATTCATTTCACTCTCACCCATCCACTCATTCATTCATTCATCCATATATACAGGGAGACTGTAGATTATCCCTGATACATATCGTGTGTGTGTGTGTGTGTGTGTGTGTGCGTGTGCGTGTCTACTATGTCCAAAATATTTAATAAGACATATAAGTGAGTAACATATATGTCTAACACAGTCGGAGCACCGACCGTCATAGATACAGACTACTTCTTTAAGTGACAGTATATTTTCGACCCCATACCGATATGTGCTTTGATTATTTGCAAACGAAGCTGCTTCCATGTCCTTGTCTTCGACAGCCACAGTCAGCAGATTTTGATTTATTCAATCATGTATCTGATTCTGCAATCGAAAACGTTTTTATATGACGTTATTGCGTTTCATGTTTACCTGTTGGGTTACAATCAAAGCTGATACCCGTAAATCAGACTGCTACCGTCACAGTAGCCGCTACAAGCAATATCGGGTCACACACGTTAGGTACTTCCAACTCATTTCGTTTAGCTTCACTATGGGAAAATAACCTTTAGCCTCATGTAATCAGGAAAAGTTCATTGGAAGCCCTTAACCTAACCTAACCCTCTTTCCATGACTTAAACTTGTAAATCTCACAAAGGTGCTTTTAATTTCACTACTTGCTCCAAACCGTCTAAAAACTGCAACGTCATGCTTCAAACTTTACATGTGAGGTTGTTAAGTTCAAAAAGATTCCAGACAGGATTATCTGGCGTATAAATAACCCTGGTGAACTGCCATACACTTTGATGCTGATAAGCCGCTGTCGGATCATAATTGGCATCCTAATACACTTACATGTCGTATTTGTCAAAGTAGTTGAACGTGAATTACGGATGTTTAATAGCGTTATCAAACTTCTATTAGTATTTACATTACGTCAACTGTAAATGTTTCATTTCAATAAAAGTACGATCATGGCACACTTTTGAAATGGTTTTAACTTTTGAAATCGAACTTCATATTATAATAGGGGTTACCGGTGAAGGGTTAGAATTGGTCTCCAGCAACCCATGTATGTCGTAAGAGGCGAGTGGCCAGGCTCGCTGACCTGGATGACACATGTCATCGTATCCCAATTCCGTTGATCGATGCACATGATGCCTGTCACTGGATTTTCTGGTCCAGACAAGCAAAACGTTTCCTAGACTCGTTTGTTGTGATATATACCCGTATACCACCCGTATTGTCACCACGGAATAGACTCCGTGACACTCGTGCGTTCCGAGCCAGTAACTCTGTATAACTACACAAGTGTGTGTCATACTGGCTGTATCGTTCCACTGATGCAGCAACACGATCACGTGATATGCAACAACACGATCACGTGATATGCAGCGACACGATCACATGGTATGCAGACAGATATTAAAGGTACAAGGATATCATTTTCCTTATCGGGAATGTATCTTTTACAGGATTTACTGTATCTTTGGGGATTTGTGTACCAACTGCGAACATAAAATATCGATTCGACATATACCAAGAAATGAAGAACTGTAATATTTCATGAAAAATGAAATTTGAAATATACGTGTTTCAAATAATGCAAATGAACATGTACCTTTGCAATACATTTTCAAGTTGGAAAGACAATCCTTTAAACAGTTATATGAAGAATTAGCCCTTAATTCGCGGATATAGAGATATTTTATGGCCCTTTGTCCAACACTAAGTGATCATTTGGTTAATACTTTAAACACATAGAATCGATGATCTAGCAAGAGCTATAAACCCATGAAACCAGTTTGGACTAAGTACCATCCATTGTAGTCGATGTGTGATACTCATCTTAGTGTACCCGTGCTTATCGGGCACAGGTCAACAATCTATACGTCACAGAACGCTGGCGGTAACTGTAGTGTAATTCTCCACTCGACCGTCACGCCGGTAGTGCAGTAATACTACCAATCCTCGGTACAGCGCGGGGCACGAAAGCGTTAGTGCTGATATAGTGTCAAAATTGCTCGAATGTTGTTTTTTTGTTTATGTTGATATCCAATAGACATGTACATTTAAGCAAAATTCAATATATGGTACATCATCTGTCATTTTGTTTCTGTAATGTACGCGATAACATATATTGTTGTCTTTCCTTAGGCGAAAGGCACATGAATAAAATGTACATGAACATGAACACGAAACAAGGAGTTTTTTGGCCTTATATCGGGGTATGTTGGTAGACATTTGGCATCTCACTCAATATTTAGCTGGGAACTTGAGGCACACTTGTCCATCATTCTCTCTTTGGACGCAGAGGGGATCGGACCTCATATTATGGGCTGTAGTGAACTCCTTCAGTAACATCAGCAGCACCACCGTACAAGGTAACGACGACAACATGAGTTAAGCCTTATAACATTGGTCTTATTTTCGTTTGTCCTTTGCAACCAATGTAGTATTAATGGTAAAGATTTGAATAGTCATTCTTAAGGCAAATTCATACATGTTTCATTGGCGTTGTCGTGAGAAGAAAATATTCTGATATGATTGTGAGACTCTAAAATAGTAAAGTAGTTTCGTTAATTAACTGTGGTTTAGTTACATCAACATAATGACATGACTCAAATGTAAGGTATTTGCACTCGGAAGATGAGGATTTAGGTTTTTTGGTTGTTTTTATTACCCAATTCAGAAAAAGTTACCAAATCATTCATTTAATAAGTTCGTGTAAGAAAAGAACTAAGGTTATGTTGTTTTATTACCCTATTCCGACAAAGTTAGTAAATCATTCACTTTATCACGATATGAAAAAAACTGACACCGATATGAAAGAAAATGGTGTCAGACAAGGCGATGTATTAACACCGGTCGTGTATGTGTCGGTCTGTAACGGAACTGATATATGTAACACTATGATTTAGACCACGTTATTGACCTGATGCATGTAACTCTAGGACATAGACCACGTTATAAACTTGATGAATCTTCCCAATAACACCGCCATTAATCGTCACTTAACAGGCATCTCGACATCACCAACGGCAGTGTCAGTACAGAACCAATATTGCCATTACCATGCATCGCTCAGTATAACTGGTAAAGAGGTCGTGTTTTAAACACATAAACAAAGAATTAATGCCGCCCGTTTTTTGTTATGTGGTGAGTGAGTATGGTTTTACGCATCTTTTAGTAATATTCCAACAATATCCCAGCAATATCACGGCCGAGAACACAAGAAAATTGTTTTACGCACTGTACTCCATGTCGGGAATCGAACCCGAGTCTTCTAGGTGACGAGCAAACACTTTAACGCGTCAATACCCCCAACGGGTCAATAGTTCAGTTATATATGACCATATGGAACCTGGGATTGTTGGGAAAATCCAGGGAAAGCGCTGATGAAGAGGATTATAACCATGAAATATTTAGAATGTCAGTGTAAAAGAATAACCAGTCCTAAATTAATACTTCTACCTCTAGTCTATCTCAAAGCGCCTGATCAAAACCATAACAAGATAATGACGTGAGGCGTTGATGATGATGATGATGATGATGATGATGACGATGATACATTTCACCACTAATACATTTATGCCATTTACTTCGTCATACTGTGTCCGAAATGTCGGCATTTGTTTTCACTGTTGGCGATGACGGGAGTTTCCAAAGTGAGGTAGTGAACGAAAGCACTCTGAGATAAGCAATGTTGGAGTGTATAGGTATTCATCACACGGTGTCAAGAAGTAGGTTTCACTCCAGAAAAAAGTAGGGGTCAATAAGCGAGACAAAGAGATGTTTGACAGAACTTTGACATGACCTTGACATTCCTCTTCTTATTTGCAGGTTAAAGTGATATAGGAAAAGAGTAGCCACCATGGATCCAGTAGAAAATGGCGAGGCAGTCCGTGACATGGGTGCCAACCGTCAGATCACTGACCCTGACTTTGACACGACTGGTAAGTAAACAGTACAACAGTGAATATACGGCTACCATCGAGAAGACGCCGCCTTTTAGCACAAGCAGTAATACAAATAATATGACAAGAAGAAAAGGCGTTTTGTACAAGTATGACCATGGGGAACAGCGTATTGTATGAGTATGACAATAAGGAATATACCATTGTGGAAGTATGACCAAAAGAGGAGTGTATTATAGAAGTATGGCAACGAGAAAATGGTATGAGAGAATCGCGGCAACAGGAAGGCCGTATTGTAGGACTTCAAAGTGTGACAATGACAATGTGGAGTGTTACAGAAGTATGGCAATGACAAAAATAGTATGTTAGGTGTATGACAATGAGAGGTGTATTATTGAAGTGTGGCAAACAGTCAGATGGTTTGTGTACCGTACATTTGTTCACATGACAACCTCGTGCAGAGGGTTGTCTGAATAGTTCCAGAGAAGGCTTACTATGAACTGCACGTGTGACGTAATCCGGTGTTGCAAAACACAAGAAAAGATGGGATAGGCTAAATGACGTAAACATGTATAATGTGTAATGCAGAACAAAGCGACTCATTCAATCAATGGTTTGCAGCCCCAGGTTTAAAAACCTTTCGTCGTGAGAAGAAATATGGGTCACCAATTTTGCACGGTATAATTGTTAACCTCTGCTTGAGTTGAGAAGAGTGCTGCAAATACGACAAGTTTCCAAATGTCTGACATATCTCTTAAATGGTTTGCTTCTACGGATTTGTGACCAGATTATGTTAATACACCTTAACTTGAACAGAACACACATTTTAGTCGAACCAGTTTATCTGTGAGATATATTAATTAAATTAAATCTAATTTAAATATAACTAATCTATCAATAAACTGACTAAGCCTTCATGTTCACCCGTTATATAATTAATGATTAGGTTAGCCTCCTGTGTCATAGTGTCCTAGATCAATTGTAAAACTGGTCCTGCCCGAAGACACATTCAGGAGTCATCGGCTGTTCGCGGAATGTTCAACCCACTCCGTCATCTTGGTAATAATTCTGCTACCGCCATGATATGGTCAGATAGCCCCATATGTCGTCACCCCTTTCCTGGAGCACGTCATCTGCACGTATGTTGGTGTTAAGATAAAGAAAAAACACGTCATTCTCTGATTACACTGCCGGACTGTAAACTGAAATTCCAACAAATGTCATTCGATTTACACCACATTAAAAAGTCATTCACCTACAGAATATAAAAAAAGAGGAAACCGGTGTGTTTCACTGTCAAGATGACCCGGTGATAAATTGCCAACTAGTCAGTGCATAAACCCCCTAAATATTTGTGTATGAATACGCTACTCCGTGTCGATATCCTCCTAGACTTCAAGACGAGGTTAATGGAGTGCCTTCTTCTACACTTGACCAAACAGACGACACTAATCTCGAACCCAGATCGCTCAACCTTGCAGCAAACGTTTGGTTCGAGGACTGTCAGCACGTGTGTATATATCTCACAGGAAGGCAATTTTGTACAGGTAGTGTTTTCTGCACTGCAGCGTTGAATTCATGGCTGGTGTAAAGAAATGAGGTCATGATTTAGTCCAAACTATATTTTCTTTATTTCTGTGGGGTTTCACTCGTGACATGCAATGGGTCTGGAGCTGCATGCAGACGGAATGTAATGAAAACCCATCATTGTCTGGAGGTATAATACATACGAGACATAGACGCCATTGATTGGATGTCCTTATATTGTAATATCCTCTATAAGAAATTATACAGATTATTTCAAATATATCACAATAATTACGATACATAAACACTCTAAGGTAATAATTTCACATTCTCGTCAGTCGTTACACAGTCCCTGTTTAACATGCATTTTCATCCTCAGATGCAGTTTGGGGACTTTGCAAAAATACACTGAGTAACCCATGCTTGTCATAAGAGGCGACTAACGAGATCGGATGGTCAGGTTCGCTGACTTGTTTGACACATGTCATCGTATTCCAATTGCGTAGATCGATGCTCATGTTGTTAAACAACAACCCAACCAAACTTAAGCTGTTAAAGCAGATGCATAACACCTGTTAATACCCTTATACATGTACTCGTATGCCTCTCTTTAAGAAGAGTCTATGCTATGGCTGGTGTTTTGGTTACACCAGATAAGTTACAATGGTAACAGATGCATAAAGAAATAAATGAATTCCCTTGGGTATTAACACAGCACACCTGGTGGGGGAGACTTTCAACATAAATTCATCGTACATTCTGATACTAAATCATTGACCTATATCTAACGGACATAGGGTTCGTGTATGGGTGATCCTGAATGGATATAGTGACATTCATCTTTAGGTGATGTTTACAGCCATAAGCATATGGATGACTTCAGTTGCTCAGACTGTCCATTGACAGAACCCACGTCCCCATTTAGAGAACCTCAATATATTTTCTACTGAATGCTTAGAGAATTTCCTTTGTCCTTACTTGAAGTCATGATCTTCATGCTCCATTATTCTAGGGGCGGTGGGGTAGCCTAGTGGTTAAAGCGTTGGCTCGTCACGCCGAAGACCCGGGTTCGATTCCCCACATGGGCACAATGTGTTAAGCCCATTTCTGGTGTCCCCCGCCGTGATATTGCTGGAATATTGCTTTAAAGCGGCGTAAAACTAAACTCAGTCAGTCAGTCAGTCCATTATTCTATCATTCAAAGGTAGTCATTCAATGTGTCTTACATCTAAACAACGATAACACATATACACACTCTCCCTAGCCTTCCTCCTTAACAAATACTTCATCACAGAACATTGTTCACTTCAAGTTTTTCATTAAAATCTGTGTTTCACCCGTCCGTTCTTCTATTCAAACCTTCAATCCTATTCAAACTCTTCTCCGTCTTGGATCAAAAGTTTCTTCTTATGTTTCTGTGTCGTCTTAAGTATTCTAAAGTTGGTATACGACTCTAAACACATTCAAATGAGATAAACCTGTTCTGTTTCAGTTGCTGATCATCGTCATCAGTACATAGGTCTGCGACTCCCACACAAACCGAAGCGTCCGGGTCGGGGTCACAGTCACAGGCGAACAAAGGGAGAGTACAAAGTCAATGACGCAGTATCTCCAAGTGAGGACCGTTAAATATATTTTGCATTTGTGTTTTGTGTGATCGCTGTAGAATGCTTACTTCACTATATAATGGAATATCTCCTTTTACGCTTTGCTAAGAGAATTACGGTTTTGTGTATACCCATCTTTATCACTGGTGTTACGCCATTTCCAGACGTCAAGGTCATGGAGTTGGCCGTTTTATCATAATATACTGTGATACTGATATTTATTGTCTCGATTTATGCTTCCTCCATTTTCTCTTATGCCACAATTTCTTCTACGATTTACGCCTGAATAACTGCCAAGATTCTTCAGATTGTAATACTCTCTTTTAACCACTTACTCTCGAACTTGCAGATGAGGATGTATATATTCCACCACAAGGTAAACGGGCTGGGTTATCGTTTTATATCTGTGTCTATTAATGCCACCTTTGTGAGCACTCGTACCTCTTCGGCGATACGACAGATGCCGGAAATGTACGAGTGTTTACGAAAGTGAAGTTCGATGTTACTTACGAGGAATCATATTATTAGCTAACTTCATTGGAAAATTGGTTGGTTGTGGGTACTGTTTCGGTATTCTTACCTATGTCTGTTTTATGTTTATGTTGTAGCGTCCACTTCATTTCTGTGAATATTGTGTTGTCATATTATTTGTTGTTTATGTAATCTGGAGCCTGTTGTGTGGAGGTGATAAAGGAGAGGTTTAAAAACAACATTATTTGTACGATGTAAATGATTTCAAACAACATTTTCCTACTTGTACACACTACGTGAGACCAAGAAAACCGGTGGTTACAAATTCGAAATGGAAGATGTACAAATGTGTCAGTTATGTTCAGCATGAAGGTATTTTATTGCGAATGATTGTGAAAAGCATGTTTATGTTTCCTAATACGATATTATCAAAAATTACTATCAACATACATATGTATTCACTTACAACTTGTTAAACCACAAAATGTCATGACATCGTATTTCATTTTAATGACCCATCACACTGACTTAAAATCTCATATAATCCCTCACAGAACCATCCCATCCATGCTAAAGCATTCAGCAAGAACCAACGATTACTATGTTGACGTACATTTGCTTGGTTTTCCTCAATTGTTATTTCTTCAGTTGCTTCAGATGTTCTGAAAAAAAAGATATTCATAACTCTGATTTACAAGAAATATCGAATCGGAATACTTGTTCTTGCAAAAGAATATCTACGACCAAGTGACTTCGTTACTTAAACACAATCTTACAGTGTGAACGATTTCTGATTTTTCAGATACTATCTTCTTCAAGTTCACTTATCCAACAACGAATTGTCCTCTTGTTCTTTTCAGTGGCCAGTGTTCTTTTCATATTTCCATTTTTAATAATTACCATCGAAAGAGATGTATAGAAACTGGGGAAAAGATTCCACTCTTGATGTTGTCTGCTCTTCTTGCAGCGTCCTTGACCCCGAGCGAGCAGATTCACCACCTGCTGGACGAGGTGACTGACGACGCCCATCAGACGCACGATGTGTTCTGCCAGATGGACAATCTGTACACCCTGGCAGGGGAGTCTGAGTGGCGAGAAATGGCCAGGTCAGAGGACGACAATAATTATTTTTTACCCAAATCGTTAAAATCCTATTTCCACCTTTATCACATAATTGTCAGTGCATTGAAATTTTCAACAGGCTGCATCACTCAAAGTAAGATTGCATCCGACGACAAAAATACCTTCATTTGGTGGCACCTGAAAACAAAACATGGAAACTCAAGACTTATTATTATTATTATTATTAAAACAAAACGTGGTGCAATATTTTGATCATTTAGATTTTGAAAACTTTGTTCGTATCCTATGTTTGGAAACGTTTAAATTTATGTTTCAAGCGTATGCATTCCCATCTTATAGGCCCTCCTAGGTAACGGCGTTTACGTCATGTTGCAGGTGGGTGAAGTACGAGGAGGACGTGGAGGAGGGTGGGGAGCGGTGGTCTAAACCCCACGTGGCCTCATTGTCTCTGCACTCCCTGTTCGAGCTTAGGAGTAGTCTGATGAGCGGATGCGTTACCCTGGAGATGGACGCCTACCACATCACACAAGTAGCAGGTACGTCCCTTCCTACAATCCAACCTCAATAGTCCCAACTATGCAACCAACATAGTTGTTGAAAATGATTGACTTACAAGTGTATGTCATGAAGACGAAAAGTCTTGGACGATGAGGTATTAATCGTCATTCCAAATTTACGATTTGCAAAACGTAAAATGTCCTCGTCCTCATCTGTTTCCTTTTTCAGTATATTTTAAACGTACCTCAAGATAGTATCACACAATTCAATTATTTTAAATTAAAATTGACATTATCATATGTTTTACAGTGATGCCCTCAAAATCCACACACATCGAGATATCCATTGTTCGAGACAGCTCTGCTCTCTATGAGCACGCTGCTGATAACCATGGCGTCACTTTATAGATATATCTGATTCGATATGCAGGTTATTATATGTTCATGTTCATGTAATGATCCTATGAAGTTCGACACATCCGGAGTTAACTGTTACATGTTCCTGTTCCAGATCTCCTGCTGGACAACCTGATTGCGTCCAAGCTGTTGGAGGAGGGTTTGCGGGACGACATCCGCAACGCCATGCTGAGCCCTCACGTATTTCAACACACGAAGCGTCGCAGGGCGTCGCAGGCTGACATCGACAACGCCCCCTTTCTTCGCCGGCTGTCCATGAGGAGGAGCATGTCCGACAAATCCAGGAACATGTCCATTAAAGGAAAAGGTAATGTCCATTCCATGGCGTACAGTTACATAAAGACACATAGGAGGGGGGAAAGAGTTGTGTTTTATAATTTGGACCGTATTCCATGTTTAACTATGCGATGTCAATTTTAAATAAGGGGAAAGTTTTTGTAAGAGGAAACGTCTGTGGCTGAGTGGGTTAGATCGCTGCTGGTGATTAGGTTACTTATTCTGAGAGTGTGGGTTCGAATGAATCACAGATTCCTCCTTCAATAGGTATCATGGCTGGATGCTGCTTGAATGTTGGCCAAGCTCACTCACACTATAAGAGATGGCAATAACTGACCTCTGCCATCACTTGTTGGTTTATTGCAGACTCGATGACCAACGTGAGGAACATGTCTATGAAGAGGAACCCCAATAGCAACCCCAACTTTGAGAACACGAACGGAGACCTCACCGAGTCAGCATCTTCAGGAAAGGTGGGTTGGACAATAACTACAGGGATGTGTCCTTCAGTGCTGTACCGGAGTGCTTCCTGACAGATACCGTTGATGAACCTGAACGGAACCGTGGATAATCACAATTTTGCCGATGTCGAGAGTGTCATTTGTATGAGTTCCATTATACTCAATATGACCTACCCTCACTGGTGGCGTATCTTTTAGAATGAAAAATGTGAAATTTTGAACAAAGACGTGTGCTGATAAATCGAACAGTTTCTGTCCTCTACCAAGTGCGATGTACCAAGATGCTACTAAATATCCACAATCAATACAGTGACTGTGACTCATCCAATTCTGAACTGTCGGAAAATCATAATCAGTTCCAAAGCATTTTAATGCAACTGTTTCGCGGAGATGGAGATCCATTCTGATAAGGGTTGATGTTTTCACGTATGCCATGTTTGTATGCAAAGAATATTTTGAGGATAAAAGTGAGATTTAAACTCCGAAATATTTATGACTATATGATTGCTTCTGTTGTTGAACAGCTGAATCAGCAGTTTATGAGGAAGATCCCCGAGGGGGGCTGAGGCCGCCAACATCATGGTGGGTGAGATTGAGGGCCTCAAGTACCAGGTGGTGGCCCTAGTGAGACTGATAGAAGGGAGGTCTATCGGTGACCTCACGGAGGTCCCTATCCCAACCCGCTTCCTCTTCTTCTTCTTCGGACCGCCAGGCAGTCAGGCCAAGAACATAGAAATCGGCAGAGCAATCTCGACCATCATGGTAGATCAGGTAAGTGGCATTCCTTGGCTAGATTTGGTTCCTTGTTTAAAGCTGCAGCTGGATATTGCACATATGCGACAGCGGCCTGTGAAAAATCGAATCTGGACCAGACAAACCACTCACTGATATCATGAGCTCGGAACCCTCCAGGATACACAGTGACCGAAGTCCTGGCCACCTAACCCATTAATTAGCCTCTTTCGACCAACGGATCCTGATTATCTCACCTTGATGTGGTTTTACACAGCTGCGTTGTATCTGTAGGTGTTCCGGGAGGTGGCGTACAAAGCCAGGAGCCGCCAAGACATTCTGGCCGGAGTGGACGAGTTCCTTGACCAGGTCACCGCACTGCCTCCAGGCGAGTGGGACCCCAAGATTAGGATAGAACCACCCCAGAGCGTTCCCTCACAGGTAAGTAATGACCTGCTTCAAAAACTCTAATGATGACCTTTTCTCAGTTAACGTGGACCTACAACTACAGCCTCGAATATTATCAAATAGGACAAGATCTCATCACCTGAAACGTTCAACTAGACAACGGGGGTGCGCTAATGGCTATCAACGCTTATCATCTCTGAGTCTTATAAAACATGTGGTAAAAGCTTTTCACTTTTCCCAGGAACCCAGAAAAGCTCCCAAACCGGTCGAACCGGAAGAGCCCGAGGAGGAAGAGAGTCACTGTGATCCGACCCTACAGAGGAGTGGCAGGTACGCCATGTGCACACACTGTCAGTGATGCAGATAGGTTGTTTTGTTTCAGTTACATGGTAACTATATAGGGAAACGTTTAAAACCAGAACCAGTAACTTCACGCTCGCTGACGGTGGAAGTGTAGTGTTTTAATGTTCTCTGAAGGAACTATGGAAACCACAATGGAAGCGGCAGGATGATCCTTTTGTTGGCCTACTGTTATCGTCAAGTTTTTTAGATGCAAAAATCCTTGAAATATTTAGGAGCAAATACGTAAGAAAAGTTCAAATGAGCAAAAATGGCAAATGTAATGATGAATAGATCTCCTATATTTGAGTTTGGGTTAAAATAAAACATTCAAATATTCATTAAAGACTCTAAAGTCAGCTTCTCTGGCACCTGGTCAAATGTGTCATCTGATGTATTTAGTGCTGTTGCGGTAGCCTAGTGGTTAAAGCGCTGGCTCGTCTCGCCAAAGACCCGGGTTCGATTCCCCACATGGGTACAATGTCGGAAGCCCATTTTTGGTGTCTCCCGCCGTGATATTTCTGGAATAGTGCTAAAGGCGGCGTAACACCATATTCACTCAGTCACTCACTAGTTGGAAGTACCAAACATTCAGCCGATGAAATTCACAGTCTGAGGGTCCTTTGTATTAACTTTCATTAATGATCTGGGTCGCGATCCACAAACCTTTCGTACTTTACCATAGGCTTACGAATGGCATAGTGCGACGAGCGCTTAGCAGATCGGGACCCTGAACATGTTTTTGTTTTCATTTTTGAGTTTAGCATATCACATGCATATCGCTATTATTTCCAGGTTGTTCGGAGGCATGATCGCCGACATCAAGCGTAAGCTACCCTGGTATGGCAGCGACTTCAAGGATTGTTTACACATACAGTGCGTGGCGTCAGTCATCTTCTTGTACCTTGCAACGTTAACCCCCAACGTTACATTTGGAGGCCTGCTGGGTCAGGCTACAGACCAGTACATGGTAAGCACGAACCTGTGAGAATATATGATTATGTTTTAGTTAAAGCGTATTAAAGTATTTCAGGGATTGCTAAGAAATAAATGAAAAAGTACAGTGCAATATATGCACGCATGTCGCCAAAACAAGGTTGTACTTTGAATATTAGTGATCCAGTTCGGATATTTGGTCAAGACCATATAATATACAGTAAAGTTCACGTTATTGTGAATATAAATATGTTATTTACCAAACCAGTTCTATGACGTTGTGAGACATTGCTGGTAATGTGATGGTAAAAGTTGGGCTGGTTGAATGTCGTGTTTACACCGGTTTAAGGAATATCCTTGGAAATTCACAACGAAGATTGCAAAGATTTGTTTTCGTCCCGATATTTTGCCTATTAGTGGAGCGTGACAATTGAACGAGTAATTAAAACCATTACTTCACCGTGCTTAGACACTGCAGATATAAGCACAGTATGTTTATAGTCACATATAATTATCGTTTGGTTACTGTCAGCATCGCGCCCAAGCCTGGCATGGCTATTGCCATTATGTAAGAAAGTAAGATACTTTATGGATAAGGGGCGGTGGGGTACCCTAGTGGTTAAAACGTTCGCTCGTCACGCCAAAGACCCGGGTTCGATTCCCTTCATGGGTACAATGTGAAGCCCATTTCTAATGTCCCCCGCCATGATATTGCTGGAATATTGCTAAAAGCGGGGTAAAACTAAAGTCACTCACTCACTTTATGGATAACAACTTCTTTATTATATATAATGCGACGTTTCGGTGTAGATTCTTATACGTTGTCAAGCAAGATCGCCATTATGTAGCTTTGCACTTGTATAAATATTGAACATCTTCATCCCTCTGACTCCAGGGTACTATGGAATGTATTCTGACCGCTGCCATCACCGGCGTGTTGTTTGCTCTGTTTGCTGGTCAGCCGTTGAACATCCTCGGCAGTACAGGGCCTATGTTGGTTCTGGAGATGATCCTGTATCATTTCTGCCAGTAAGTTATCTGATTCATTCTGAACATAGTTCAGTCTTTCACACCCTACACCCACACCAATCCTTTTCACATTCTCACAGTTCCACCCCAACCCATTCTAAGCTGCTTAGTAGCTTGCTTCTTTCATAAACATATTAATAGGATATTGCTGGAATAGGTTTTTGTGGTGTTTTTATGAAAAGGAAAACGGAACAATATCATGAATGTCACATCATTTGTCCATAAGAAGGGGGAGATGGGTTAGACTAGTGGTTAAAGCCTTCGCTCGTCACGCAGAAGACCCGGTTTCGATTCTCTTTATGGGTACAATGTGTGAAGCTCATTTTCTGGTGTCCTCCGCCGTGATATTGATGGAATATTGCTGAAAGCGGCATAAAACTAAAATCACTCACTCACATTGTCAATAACAACAACAAAATAAACGTTTAGTTTACCTATAGACGTTCTGATTTTTCTTAGCGACAACGAACTGGATTTCTTACCATTGCGGTGCTGGATTGGACTTTGGACAGCGTTCATATTGCTTCTGATCGTTGCCTTTGACCTGAGCGCCCTAGTTCGATACATCACTCGCTTCACAGAGGAGAGCTTTGCATGTCTCATCGCTGTTATCTTCATTGCTGAGGCCTTCAAGAAGCTGGTTGGCATCTTGGACAAATCCCCCGTGAATACAAATCCGGACATGGAGCTCATCTATGATTGTGAATGCTTCCCACCCAATAGCACCAACTCAACACTCTGGAACACAACGTTTGGTGGCATGACCTCAACCACGGCCGTCCCAGTCGTCGCTTACACTATCGACGATGGCATGGATGTCCTGAACTCCTCCTTGAACGGCACGATGGACATGGTCATCAACTGGACCACTGTTACCAAGAAGGAATGCATCGAATATGGCGGAGAGCTGATAGGCGAAGGGTGTAACACACCGCACTACGTCAGTGACGTCTTCTTCCTCTCCGTCCTGCTCTTCCTTGGCACCTTCACCGTCGCATCAGCCCTCACAGGATTCAAAAACAGCAGCTTCTTCCCGACATTCGTAAGTAGGGTTTGACGCGACTTACAGGCACGCAGTTATGTTGTTTGCTCCAAATTCTCAATAAAAGATATATAGTACATGTTATAAACGAAACAGATACGTACGTATTGTACACAGTACAGTACAATATTTCATTACTTTACAGGATCGTGAGTTTTTAAGGGCAAAGTAAAACTCTGCAATTACGTCAGATTGTTATTTTGTCGGGTATTAGACGTCTCCATACTACCTCTCAGCCAAATGAATGTGCTTTTCGACGAGTGAGTGAGGTGATTCCAAAGACACAAGATGTCTGTTACATTCTGGTGTGACACACATATCAACAGACAGGGCGATTGAGAATGGCTTATCCAGACTACAGGGGGTTGGGGACGGGGGTTCTCGCAGCTAAGGGACGCAACTCTGTTTGGCATCATGAGCCAGCCATTGCTGATATTCATTGATTGTACTACAATAGTTGCTGTCTTTTACAGGTCCGCCAATCCTGCGCTGACTTCGCCGTGTTGATCGCTATCCTTCTGATGGTGGGACTTGACGCAGCTATAGGAATACACACCCCAAAATTGGAAGTCCCAGAAAAGTTCAAGGTGAGTAAGTGAGTGAGTACGGTTTTACGCCGTTTTAGCAATATTCCAGCAATATCACGGCGGGGGACACCAGAAATGAGCTTCACACACTGTATCAATGTGGGAAATCGAACCCGGATCTTCAGCGTGATGAGTGAACGCTTTATCCACTGGGCTACCCAACCGCCCCCTAAAGAAGTTCAAGGTAGATGGCATATCGGAGTTCAATATGATACATATATCCCTGTACGTTACTCAATTAACAGACACCAAAACATCTTTAATGCCAATAAGAGATTGTGTATATCGTTCTGCTCTGCTTGAACTTTTTATGTTTACATTATTCATCATTTTGTAAACATTTATATTTTTCAATTTTTTTACTACAAGAGAACCAGTCTTCATCATGCGAACGCATTCCCTGACTTCCATATTTCAACTTTTCTATAGCCCACACGTGACGACCGAGGATGGTTCGTCAACCCCTGGTCAGACAAAAACCCTTGGTGGATGATCATTGCTGCTATCGTACCAGCTCTCCTCGCCACCATCCTCGTCTTCATGGATCAGCAGATCACTGCCGTCATCGTCAACAGGAAGGAGAACAAGCTTAAGGTAGGCGCATGTGAAACCTCACTTATCCGGACGATATAAATGTTTCACATTGAAGCTGGACCGGATGAACGAATCATTAGCGCAGAGTAGTGTCCCTTGTATCATATTGAACTGTGTTCATGTGATATATGATGTCAAAGTGAAAAACAGTTTTTGGTTTACATATATAAGCAGTTAATAATTAGATATGGTATGGCTCTTGATGGAATCTACAAAATGTAAATTCTACTTTTTTACCATCATTAAACTCTTTGAATAAAGGGAGCAAATTCTCTGGATGTCAACTTCGCTAATATGAGTCACATGACGTTTCGGAGTATATTCTCACTCCTTTATCAGGTAATGATGAAGATGGATGAAGTAGTATAAATGTACTCCGAAACAAAGACGTATCCCTCATCTTACAGAAGTTGACATTTATAAAGTTTCACCTTTTACTGGCATTATTAATATTACTACATTGAGAAGTCAGGATAATTATAGTCTCACCCAAGCAGCGTCATCGTATCTACATACATGTGTTGTGAATTACAGAAAGGAAGTGGATACCATCTTGACATGTTCGTCGTCGCTATCTGCATCGCGTTGTGTTCCCTGCTGGGGCTGCCGTGGTATGTTGCTGCCACCGTCTCTGCCCTCGCCCACGTTATGAGTCTCAAGAAGGAGTCCGAGTGCACAGCCCCCGGCGAAAAACCAACTTTCCTCGGATGCAGGTGCGTGTCATGTTGGTTAGGTTTGGTTTGGTTGTGTTGTACGCCGCACTCAGCAATATTCCAGCTATACAGTATATTTGGCGGCGGTCTGTAAATAATCGAGCCTGGACCACACAATCCAGTGATCAACAACGCTTTCTACTCTTCACCCCCTGCAATTTTAACATTTTCTACACGCATCTCATTCATACACCAAATAATAGGGTCCACGGAATGTCGTTTCCTCGAGGCCTGTGCAATCGAAATCTGTACAACATGCACCCGATATTTTTGTTACGGATGTACACCTCTAACAGCATCCTTTGGACAAGGACAGTTTATGTCTGAGGATATATTTTAACATTTATACAGCTAAAAACGCATCTGCTTGATACCTTCCCCATCATTCTATTGAGGGGCGGTCGTGTAGCGAAATGGTTAAAGTGTTCGTTCATTACTCCGAAGCCTCGGGTTCAATTCCCGACATTGGGTATGTATGTGAAGCCAAAACTGGCAACAGCTCACTGTTCAGTTGGAACACTGAAGCAGATTAAACTTCCACTCACTCAGTCACTTGCTCACACTTCCTCAGACGCTATAATTAGTCATGTACAATCTGATGAACACAACCCAAATCTGATTTCAGGGAACAGCGAGTTACGGCTTTGATGGTGGGTCTCCTCAGTGGTCTTTCTGTCCTCTTCACCACAGTCCTAAAGGTACGTCCTCCTCCCATCAAAGTACTTTCACTATTTTTGTTCGAAAGCTATTTATTATTACACCATTTCCTCATAATGTGAAATGAATTGAAACATTCTGCTGCCACCAGTCGAATTGAAAAATATAATTTCGGACATTATCTGATGTAAATATCTTTGCATAGTATGTAATTTATGGCTTCTGGTTTTTTAGTTTATCCCTATGCCAGTGTTGTATGGAGTGTTCCTCTACATGGGTGTGGCTGCCCTCAAGGGTATGCAGGTGAGTAGGCCTCATAGCAGGCTATTGGAGTTCAAATGGAAAGACAATTCTTTTTTTCTTTTCTTTTTTTTTATTGAAAGACAATTCTTTATTGGCGAGATGGGGGACTAGATTAGTTGCGCTTTTTGGCTGGTTTAATAATGAGATGTTATACACTGACATGGTTGTATGCAATTACGCATCACGGCGCGTTTTCCCATAATGACGGATGACATAATTGTAACATAAATACATAAAATACAGCTTCAGCCATGGTGACGTGGATAAAGTCAGTTGTACTCACGGGACAACGCACAGAGAATAATTTTAGGTCACGTTTAACCACCCCAATGTTTGTTCTGGTCACGTTCAATAAAAGTTTCGATGCGGCTGGTTTAGTTTTTCCTGAACACAAACTTTCCATTGAAAGAGTTCTTTAACCTGGTGTGTTCTTAGAAATAAGGACAGTCCCTAGAAACTACCCGGTATGAAGGCAGGAAGTTCAAATTGATTCTGATAATGTTCCACTGTTCCAGTTCATCGACCGTCTCCTGCTGCTGTTCATGCCCAAGAAGTACCAGCCAGATTTCACTTACCTGCGTCACGTACCTACGAAGAGAGTTCACTTGTTCACCTTTATCCAAGCCATTTGTCTTGCCGTTCTCTGGGTCATCAAGACCATCAAGTCCGTCTCAATCATTTTCCCTATAATGGTCTGTATGATAAAAGTCTCATCCCGTACTTCTTTTACTTTTTTGAGGGGCGCCTTTTCACATCTCGTTATCAGCAGCTTTGTTGAATTTCATCCAAGGATCCTTTTCGAATGGGTCATTGGGGCGGTGGGGTCACTTTGTGGTTAAAACGTTGGATCGTCACGCCGTAGACCCGGGTTCAAATCCCGACATGGGTACAACTTTTTAAACTCATGATGTTTCTGGAATATTGCTAAAGCCATACTCATCCACTCCCTAATGGGTCATGTGCGTAATCTGAAATCCTGATACAGGTTTCATTAGATCTATCACTGGTTTATTCTGACACTGTCAAGACTCAAATATACTCATGCCAATAATGGTTGTCAGCCCCCTCCCCACCCCCCTCCCTCTCCAATAAAAAAAATTGAAGGGGGTGACAACCATTATTGGCATGAGTATATTTAAAGCAGCCGTCATATATATATTGCTGAATGTAGGGTTAACTTAAATTAGTTCAGCTGTTTATGTTAACACGTCAACTACCGAACAAAAGATTTTATAAACCCATGTTTGATGGTGCCCAAAACTGAAACAAGAAATGCCGATCATACGGCCATAGTTACGTTTTACAGTATTTCGGCTATATTCTCAGTTTTGTAACTGTAGAAAACGTCCCCTATATTTGTTTCGGCAAATCCAGCTTTCAAGTATTTTGTTCTTTGGCCCAACAGTTTCATTTTCACTTTCCGGTTGTATCCTGGAAGACTAATCTCCTTAATGTCATACAAGCAGCCAAAGTTGGATCCTGTTCTCACCACAGCTGGGTAGCTGTGTTTGAAAATCGTTCCACGGATTTTACTGATAGTCTTATCCATCTCCAGGTTTTAGGCACCTGTTTCGTGCGTAAAGGTATGGACTACATCTTCACCCAGCACGAGCTTAAATGGTTGGACGACATTATGCCTGAGGCCAACAAGAAGGCAAAGGACGATGCAAAGAAGAAGGCGCTAGAAGAGGCTGAGGCGAGTTATCTTTCCTTGACTCACTATCGTAATTAGTTGTCTCCCTTGAACCTTGTAATGTACAGACAATATTGCATGTTACCTACAAGCGCGCTTAACGCTTCCGATGACCCAGTTGTTTCCCAAAGAGTCAATCATCGTACACTTAGTGTTCATGACTTGCTTTGAATTGGTATTAATTGCATTTTAACACGAAATTATATCAACATCTGAAGTTTAGATATATGTTTAAACTGTATGTATGGAATAAAATTTCAGAATTTGGTAGCCGTACGAGTACCAATCATTCATGATTTACTTACGGTCAAAACATCTTTCTGTAGGATTAAGTATATTCCGTCACTTTGTAAAAGATCAAAACAATAGCAACCTTTCTCATTCTCCTTTGATGAACCCAACTAGAAAACAAAATTATTTATGCATAAATTCGTGTGTGGATTTTGATAGCATGTGCTGTTTATGTGACATAAGGATTTTGGAAATGTGCCCACGGGTTTTTCAGCTCTGCCCGTGTGCGCCTAGACGGAACGAGTCGCTATTCGGCTTGTCACGTACTATCACAAGTTGATCACAAACGATATTGACCTTCACCTTGTGTTTGTTTAGGACCTGCTCCAGAACGACTACGACGACAAGATGATGGAGGTAAAGTACCACCAGACACATCTGGGGGACAAGTTTTCCCCCAAGACTAGGCGAGTCTCTACTGACACTGACAGGGTAAATATCTCGGAAGAGATGGCCAAGACAGCTATCTGGCTGAAGATGAAACAGGATAGTGATGACCAGGGGAGGTAAATCAGATTGCACTCGGTGTCGGTTTGGTTTCAACCTCTTGCTTGTGCAACCTTGTGGATTGTCCTGCTTTCCCGACGGTGCCTTCACTATCCTGCATGCTTGTGTAGAGTAGAGACGTCCGTAGAACTATATGTGTTTTTGTATTTTTTCTTGGTTTGGGTTTTATACTTTCCTGTATTCTGGTCTGCATCTTCATTAGCTAGGGGCGGTGAGGTAGCCTAGTGGTTAAGGCGTTCGCTCGTCTCACTGAAGACCCGGGTTTGATTTCCTCATGGGTACAACGTGTGAAGCCCATTTCTGGTGTCCCCCGCCGTAATATTACTGGAATATTGCTAAAAGCGGCGTAATAACACTCACTTACTCATTAGCTAGGCCGTTGTCGTCAATCACTGTTGTGTTGTAGTCGAATTTTGTTGAAGTTATCATTAAGATTGACTACCTCCAAGGCCCCTTTCCACAAGGCGAGCTTCGCGCTACGACAATCGAGTTACGATCAACGTGTCATTAAGATTGCTTTGTTGAACGGGGCCCTGGTTCGTATAGGGTTTCTTTCGTAGTCTATTCGGCGTGGAGCGTATCTGTATTGTTCTCAATTCTATCCTTTAAGGCGGTGATTTAGCCAGCGTTCGCGCGTCATGCTGAACTGATGTGTTTGATTTTTAACATGGGTACGAGGTGTGTAGTCATTTTTATAATGTCCACCGCCGTAATATTGCTGGAATATTGCTAGAAAAGCGGCGTATGGCTGTAATACTCACACACATTCACTCCAGTCCCATCACACCCTGTCTCAAACACCAATCCCCAACAAATCCTCAACTCAGTAGACGAAATGATTTAAGAAATTTATGATGTGTCAGCACTAACAGGTCCTTCTATAACACACTTTGGAAATCTAAGTATAAATCTTCAATTTAACTATATTCAGGCTTGTTAAAAGTCCGTGATTGATAATTGTGTACGTCGTCAGACAAGGTTCTACATGCTTTTGGTTTTGAGTTAAATAAACTGAGTTACCTCCCCTACGCAAAGACTTCCCCTTCCGCTTCAAGCCTCTTCCGTGTCCTCCTCCGCTTTAAGCCAGCACCTGCAGCCTTTAGCTACCCATGTGCGTGAACATGATCATATGTATGCAGAAATGAGTGACTTTTCAATAGCTTGTATGCATGGCATGCTTTGATTTGGCTTTTCCCTTGAATGCATTTTTGCGTCATATATTTTGTAATTGTTGATTGGAACATTTTGCCTGTATGTATTATTAAGAATCATCCATATCGTTAATTGAGAAAACAAAGGTTGGCCTTTCTATCTTCGGTATTTTGATATAAATAATCTCGATATCTCGACGTCTACTTACTTTTGAGAGAAGCGTAGTGGCCATAGTTTATTTGGGTCTGATCTTATACATTGGAATACCTACACAGATATAGCGGAACGTTTCTGACATAAAGGTATGTCCCAAATTATCACATTATTACACAAATTACACATGATTGTATTCTCGCGGCAAATTTTATACTTCCAGCTGATTTTTTTTTAAAATATGGCTCCGTACACAATTTTGAATGTCTTTTCGAAGTGATATAGAATCATCAAATTCCAAACAAAGATCGGTTTCGAAACCTCCAATGGCGTCTCTTTGTCGAGAAACTCTTGAACTGGTGCAATATCAGGGAATTTAGATATAGAATCCCTCCAATGGTACATATGAAATACGCCAGGTCGAAACTGCAACCTTCGTATGGGAACCATTGCAGAGGCGATGATGAATCGCACTGTCTTTAAGATCTCTTTTTGCAGGTCTATGTGCCCCTGCAAGTGATATGAAGTCCGTTCGCTAAACATAATAAATTTCTTGATATATGTATCCATCTGTTTCCTAAGTGAGATTCCCCTCCTTTTTTCTTACATTATGATAATCAAAACCTTGGTCTGAGGATGTGTGTTGTGTCTAGTCAGGGTGGGTGGGGTAACCTAGTGGTTAAAGTGTTCGCTCGTCACGCCAAAGACCCGGGTTCTATTCCCCACATGGGTACAATGTGTGAAGCCCATTTCTGGTGTCCCGCGCCGTGATATTGCTGGAATATTGCTAAAGGGGGCGTAAAACTAAACTCACTCACTGTATCTAAACATAAATATCAGTAACGTTTACCACACAACTGTTTAAAGTTGATAAACATGGTATGGCGTTATCGGCTGAACAGGTGTATTTCTTAAACCAAGAGAAAGGTTATCTCAAATCGACGTTCGTTTCCTTATACATTGTATCTGGGAAGTATACTTGAAGGGCGAGCATATACTTGTATTCGCTGGACATCTCATGTATAGGTCGTGTTCGGTTCTGATGATTCTTATTATCTTGAAAACGTCAGTGACGTCACGGACACGGTAGTGAGTGACGTGCAAGTGACTGTCACGCTGACTGGTGCATCTGCGAACCACGTTACAAAATAGAAAATACAATCACGAATCTAAAACTAATGTTATGATATATTCTTTGCACAGTGCATGTTTTCATTTTCGAATGTATTCATACAGTCATTATATTAGATTAAACATTCTTCCTCGAGTCTTACAATGGCACGAGGTTTGTTGCAATCTATCACTGACTTGTTTATTCGGGACATTTTTCATGGGAAATAGGAAACTGTCCGGATTAAAGGTTTCAGTGTTACAGATATTATGTGGGCTAATAAATACAAGTCTTTGAAAGTTATTCATGGGTTGTATTTAACAGTCGGAATTGAACAATCGACTCTGCTTTTAGCAGAAATTTCTTATGGTTGTAGCAGTGTTTTGTCATTTGTTATGTTATAAAATTAATAACAACTGTCTTATTATTGTAATGACATAGGAAAAGGAAAGGCTTAAACGAAGATCGGCGTAACAAACGAATATAAACTTCCAAATCTTGTTCACGTCATTGATGCTTATCGAAACAAGTCATACTAGACATTTCAATTCAGTGATGCAATGATATATGCTAAACGGTCCCCAGGAAACTGACGTCAAGTAGGCTTTTTAGATGTTACCATAATGAATCTTCTTTGAGCTGTTGGTAAGTATACAAGTATTGAAATCATCATTGCATTTAGACTAACTTATGTGACGTAATTTGCAGATCAAAGCGCAAAAAGTCTGATAAGAATGGACGAAATGGACACTCGGGCGCCAGTAAAGCTAATTTCTATATGGGAGACGAAGAGGAGGCGAAAGAAAGAGAGAGCAAGATATGATCGTCTACGCCAACTTCATCAAAGAAAGTTATAAAACCATTTAACCCTAAGAGGGCCTCAATAATCTTTCACTGCTCGTCTTCCATTGGTCACACTCGCTAGGGTTAATTCAGTGACCCTTTGACCAGAAAAGCCGTTTGAGGTTGTAATATTTTCTGAGGAAGTGCACTTATGAACGAACTTTGTTGCTGATTCAGTGAAGGGAATAGTATTTTTAAGGACAGGAAAAAAACATTGTTCACAGCCAGTCCGTGTGGTTATTAACCTGATCGATCTGGTAGATACGTAAACGTGATATGTGTTCATTACCAATCGATTTGATAAACGTTTCAAGTAAGAGTATTTTAAAAGATCACAGAGACTTTACGTTTTGGTCTATTGTTCAATACAGATCTATGCAACATGAGTAATTCAGTATGATAGATACGTATAGTTATCGTGCCCTTTCCGACAATGTACATATCCGTCAAAACACCCCATTGATTGACAGCTGTCACTCTCAGTGAATGTATATTTCAGCAAACTATTATATACCTTGGTGCCTTTGAAAACAATGCAAGATACAGAATATATCTACTGTCCTATCTTGTTGCTGAATTCAGTCAGCCCTGTGTGTGTTACTGTAGTTGATTTCACGGTGTATAATCTATTGTATGATTATGACCAGATTATATATTTAGAAAATGTTGTCAATGAGAGTATTTAAGTCGTCACAAGTTCCAACACAGGTGTACATATCAGCGTTGTTATTTGTAACACGAACCTCCATTGGACTATTTTCTAGCCAATCAGGAACCTTTTGCTGAGGATCGAAAACGTAAAACAAAATTGACAATCACAGCAAATACTTTCAACGGGCATGTTTAGATTTAATATTTCCGTTAAACATTAATGCTTAAATCAAGCTCGTTAAACGGAAATGAAACCTACATACATCGATGACGTGTACCTACTCTGTAGAGTAAATAAATGTAAATAGAATAATTCCTGTTTGTCTATATGCTATTAGGAAATTGTATGGATTTCAGATGTATAGGTATGGATTTCACAGGTTAGAGGTATGGATTTCACCTCTGGTATGGCGCTGTGTAGAGTTTACATTCCAGCTTAGGGATTTCACATGATAAGTATGGATACCAGGTTTGAAATGTGTACGCACATCACATTTCAACTGTACAGATGTCACATGCTATATACACAGAATTCATATATCAGCTATGTCAATTTCATTTATCATCTGTTAGCTTCAGGTTTGGTTGGAATGTCATGTCTAACTGGATGTCACATTCTGCTGTACGGATTTCACTGTACTACCACAGTGTACGGTATCACACTGTGCAGTGACATGATCTGGATGTGAGATTAATGTCAGATCACGAAATATATATTTACCAAAGATTGCAATGTGTTATCCGGACTCTAACGTTGTATATATTTTGGTTAATAAAGTCATGACAAACTGCTTCCTGCTTTTGTTTTCATTATCATAGAGTGGGGTGGTGGGGTAGCCTAGTAGTTAAATCGTTCGCTCGTCACGCCGAAGACCCGGGTTCGATTCCCTACATGGGTACAATGTGTGAAGCCTATTTCTGGTGTCGCCCGCCGTGATATTGCTCGAAAATTCTAAAAGCGGCGTAAAACCATACTCGCTCACATATTATAGTACTTTTTGGGTTGGGTCATTCACCAAATCGTGATTTCTTACAACCGAGTTATGTTTAGATAACTTAAACGTTTGTAATTGTCAGGTTCATTTTTCAGTCCTACATACCCGTGAAGACCAGGAGTTGGTCTTTAGCAACCCATGTCTGTTGTAAGAGGTGACAAACCAAACTGGGTGGTCAGGGTCGCTGACCTGGTTAACAACTGTCATCGTATCAGATTTGTATAGACCATTGCTCATGATGTTAATCACTGGATTTACTGGTCCAGATTCGATTATTTACAGACCGCCGTCATATAGCTAGGAAACTGCTGATACCATGAATCTAAGTTATTTCCAGATCAAATGTAACTCTTCTATTGATTTTTCTTTAAAATAGATATTGGAGATTTCACCTTCGCGCGCCTTCAAGGAAATTATAAAATAAATATCTTTTGTCTTGTTAAGTGTTTCTTGGTGCGAAAACACAAGTGTTCGCGTGAAACAACTACTTCCAACAAGTTAAGACATGAGTGTTCCTTGTCATGTTAAAAGCTACACAACACATTAACGATATAAGTGTTTGTGTACATGTTGAAACTTAGTGTCTCGCTCCTGCTAATCGCATGTGTCATTTGTTGCATTAAATTAGTGCACACAATAACTGCAAACGTTCTGTACTCCTACACATTATCTTCAAGAGGTAGTTCAAGGGCTGTTAAACGTTAGAACTGCGACATTAAAACTTTGTGGAAAAACAAACTATGTTTGAAAACTATAAGATTTTTCTTAACTGTTGGCACATTGTGGGAAAAAACAATTGTTTTAGGGGTTTTCTACACTCATAAGCACCGGAATACCGTACATGTGCGGTGGTGGGGTAGCCCAGTGGTTAAAGCGTCCGCTCGTCACGCCGAAGACCCGGGTTCGATTCCCTACAGGGTACAATGTGTGAAGCCCATTTCTGGTGTCCCCCGCCGTGATAATCCTGTCATATTGCTAAAAGCGGCCTAAACCCACGATTCATAAACTCTGGTTCACCACTAGACACATCACACAACGTGGGGAATCGAACCCGGGCCTTCCGCGTGACGAGCGACGGCTTTAGCCACTGGGCTACCCCCACCGCCCCTGTAACGCTAGAACTTATATTAAGTGAGCGACAGCATGGGAAAAAAACAATCAGTCAACTCGGTCTTGATGGACGTGACACAATCCAGTAGTGATTGAACAAGTGTGAGAGGACTGACATCGAGGAGGATTACAATTTAACGTCAAGGTGAGTTAGCCTTGGGATGGAAAATAGTTTAGTAAGTGAATGAGTTGGGTTTAACCCCGCCTCGTACAGTATTCTATGTGTCCGCTTAATAAGCGAGGGACGTGATGCGGTTCCAAGACGTTTACCACATTGGTGAAACGCATGAACATGCGTATGTTGCGTACAAGCCAAATTTATAATCGACGTGAATCATGTTTCGGCCGTGGGGTAGCCTAGTGGTTGAGGCGTTCGCTCGTCACGCCGAAAACCTGGGTTCGATTCCCCATATGGGCACAATGTGTTAAGCCCATTTCTGGTGTCCCCCGCCGGGATATTGCTGGAATATTGCTAAAAGCGGCGTAAAACGTAATTCACTCACTCACTGTTTGGACCCCACGGCCTTACACAGAATCTGGCATGATCAAGGGACACAATTCTGTACAGCAATTCGCAGCGTCTCACTGCATCCGTGCTCTCAAAGAAAGTCGTGCAAGTGAAACACTTACTGACACCCTGCGTTCCTGACAGAACGAACGGTCATAATCGAGGTGAAACAAAGATCCGAACGATCGAATCTAATTGCAGAGCCAGTAAATACAAAGATGAAAAAACATATTACATATGACTGAATTACTTAATGCATCCTCTTGATGCTAAGTTTATAACAACAAACGCACTTGAGAATATATATTTTTTATTTTCTCAAGAAACACTCGTGCTTTAAAGTCTGATCAAAGAAAAACTAACAACGCCCATGCATTCAAAGGAGACACGTAGTGGTTATTGCTAAAATACGTCTCTGTAGGCGGAACTGGGAATCTGTTTATGTTTCCCACGAGGCCGAAGAACGATTAGTGCAAAAAAGGAATTTATAATACTGGGCCCACTTTAACAAAGCGGTTTTAGCACTACGATTATCTTACATTTGTGTTAGAGTATAGGGTTACGATCATCGTGGCGCCAAGATCACTTTGTGCGCGTGGGCCCTGTCCTGAAGCTTTATGTTTGTGGTTCAGAGAGGCGAAGTGGAATTGAATGGTCTTGCAATAGGTGTTAATTTTACTTTGGAAAGAAGACATCCACAATAAATATGACAATCCTTATTGTCCTTATTATGCTATGAAACGCTATTCCAATCATTCAACTTACGGACTCCAATGGGCAAGTTTAAAGTGATATGAATGTCAACATTTATGTTCCGTGGTCTTTTGAATTTGTGGGGAACCAGTAACTGAATTGTGCATATATCACGTCAAGGAATTATATACGGCGACTGGCGAGATCAGAGGTTCAGGTTTGGTTGACGCAAGTCATCATATCCCAAATGCATCAACAGTTACTTGATTGTCTGATTTAGTTATTTACATTCCGACGGAATATATCTAGACTATTGCCGAGTGCGGCGTAAAACAGCAAACGAAACATGGAACCTGGTTCGAAAAAAGTCGTGTCATTGGGTCGGTAGGGAATCTGCTCTAACACGCCCCAATGTAAAGTTTTGGATATGAAACATGACGTTTTCAAAATACCATATGGATAAAATGGCAAAATAATTTTTGGGGCGAGAAAAGGTTCGTGGCAAAAATTTGCACTGCATGATTGTTATTAATGAAGATAATTAAAAACTGTCCTTGACCATTTGCATCGGCGACCAAGGCTCCTGTGCAGAGCTCTCCCTTCGCTTAAAGCTCCGTAAAACAGGTACCGCTGTCAGGAGCTTACCCTAAGCAAGGCGTTTACGCCTAGAAAGGCAACCATTTTGATCACGAAGTCCAAGGTTTTAAGTGCTGTAGCAAATGAGGTTTAGAAACGGTTGTAAATGCTAAGTTGTGGTATGTATAATATATTGTGACTATTTATTGAGTATCCGACACGCCGTCATGATTTCAATACGAGGTTGAAGTTCGGCACCTAAAGAAATATAAAGACAGTAATCATTTGTTTTAGAAAGCATTTTCAAAAGTACAGTCTAGTTAATTCAGATGATGGGCGATGGGGTAGCCTAATGGTTAAAGCGTTGGCTCGTCACGCCGAACACCCGGGTTCGAATCCCCACAAGGGCACAATGTGTGAAGCCCATTTCTGGTGTCCCCCGCCGTGATGTTGCTGGAATATTGCTAAAAGCGGCGTAAAACCAAACTCAGTCAGTCAGTCAGTTCTTCAGATGAAAGCAAACCAGTGAACAGTTTCGAATTGGATCGTCATTGGATCGCTTTCGTAATTTTACAAGAATACGTCACAAGTAAAAAAGCAACATTTTATTAAACTGTTAAACAGAGGTAACATAACAGGAGACGTTTTAGTTTTATTCTCAGAAAAGTATATGAACACTGTCACTCTTTCGATTGATAATGAGTTTCAAAGAATCAGAAACAACTATATAATTACACAGGTATTTCACCCATTAATAATTTAAAACAGAAGAGAAAACAAAGCCTGGTATATAATCGAGTATGGGGAAGCGAACGGGTGATTGACATCATGAGCAACGATTATCATTGTCGGGGTACAATGACTTTGGAGTGACCTTATGCGACACCCGACCTTCATGTATGTCGGTTCTCACAGAAGCTGCTTGTCCTTTGCCCCCTATCTGCCTCGGAATGCCAGCGGATATGCGTTAACATGCATGTAAGGACCAATGTGTTGGATTACCCAGGTCAGCTAAAGTGCACATATATTCCCATGTTAGGAATATCGGGGGCGGTGGGGCAGCCTAATGGTTAAAGCGTTCGTTCGTCACGCCGAAGACCCGGGTTCGATTCCATGCATGAGTACAATGTGTGAAGCCCATTTCTGGTGTCCCCCGCCGTGATATTGCTGGAATATTACTAAAAGCGGCGTAGAACTAAACTCACTCACTCACCCATGTTAAGACAATGAGGAAACATACAAGAAGTGGTTGTGCAGTGATAAGGGTGTAATACAACTAGCTGCGATTTGGAATGTACATATACAGTGTTTCGGTGACTGTGTTCAGTCTAGAAACGTTTTGATGAAGTTTCTAATTTTGAAATCACTCAAGTGTCGACTGTTTTCAGTTATTCCTGCATTTATTGTTTACAAACTGGAAATGTTGCTGTCGTGTAGTCGGGAACAAAGTTTGTATCATACTCAAGACTGATAGCACCGTTGTCAAAACCAGAACCTGTTGGTTTGCAGACGGAACAACCACCACGACAGGATCCGAATATTACATTCCCGTTACTGGATCTGGTAACGGTTGTCCCGCTTGTCCATGCCAAGTAGTCCACAACCTTCACACCGGTTCCAGTTGTATCAATGCGGAATGAACCAGCCTCTTTAGCAACGCACGACTGAGAATCTCGGCAGTCCGCCCCCCGGCCAAAATATGTGAAACGACCGCTGGTCTCAGCAAACGCGTCGCCACCGTGAAGAAACCTGAAGTTCCACACGTTTAACTTCACTTTACTGAACGTAGTATTCCCTGCGTGTGTCCCTTTCCAATATGGCGAACATTCGTCAATATCGGTGTCTAGAAAATAGGAATAGTTGTCCCCGAATAAAGTGATATAAGAGACAGGACTAGCTGTCTCCATACCAGTGCAATATACTTTCACATACTGATAGTTCACATTTCTTATACGCATCCAGTATTCGCCGTCACTATAGTCGCTGTTGCAAGCCTTGACGTCAGCGCATGTGGCGACACGCTGACATGTGAAAGCGCTCCACGATCCATCTGGTTGACACACCCGCTCTCCTAATGGTTCGAACCCATATGAGCAGTTGTATGGTACAGACTGGTTGATATTCCAGAAATCCGGGATTTCACCAATCTGTAGAGTACAGAAATAATCACATTAACAAACGATTGTCAGAACCGTTCCATGTTGCTTTTTCAGATGTTTTGTTTGTTGTTTAACGCCGCACTCAGCAATATTCCAGCTATATGGCGGCGTTCTGTAGAGAATCAAGTTTGGACCAGACAATCCAATGAAAATATCATGAGCATCGATCTACGCAGTTGGGTTGCGATGACTTGTGTCAACCAAGTCACCGAGCCTGACCACCCGAACCCGTTATACGCCTCTTACGACAAGAATGGGTTCTTGAAGACCAGGGACGGTGGGGTAGTCCTAGTGGTTAAAGCGTTGGCTCGTCACGCCGAAGACCCGGGTTCGAATCCCCACATGGGTACAATGTGTGAAGCCCATTTCTGGTGTCCCCCGCCGTGATGTTGCTGGAATATTGCTAAAAGCGGCGTAAAACCAAACTCAGTCAGTCAGTCAGTCTTGAATACCATTCTAACCCGGAACTTTAGGTTAAGGCAGGGTGAAGTGTTGTCTTCAATACTGTTTTCTATTTGATGTTATTAATTGAAGATAACTGCATTTGTTATGATGTAAATTTCATTGTTTAATGGATATTGATGACCGGGATACTTTCTAAAACAAGTAAAGGACTACATAAGTTGGAATTAGAAGTTAACGTTCTTGAAATAGTTGTATTTAGCAAGAGTAGTAACAATTAGAGCAGTGACATGATAGTAAAATGAAAGTTGTTAAAATTTTAGATATGTAGGAATTGTTCTGTGTTATAATAGGTTTACTAAGGATGAAACACAGCTGATGTGTCAGTGCTGAAAACTGTTATTAACCAGGGTGTTATGAACAGTTATTTGACAAGGTGAATAACCATGCTATTCAAAACTTGGCGCATCAGGTGAAGATTTTCTTTTTGTAATACTGGCTTCAGTAAACAACCGTATGAGCAAGAATTATCTCTGGTGGCCCTGCTATGATCTTTGGATCAAGCCTTTTATCATGTCATAAATCAATTGTCTAATTCAGCTTGGTTCGAATCCCCAGCTTCAGTGTGGGTTCGAATATATGACAAATATTCCTAAGAAAGTGTAATCCCAAATATAACATATGTTACATTTGACCACTTTTTAAAATGGCATTGTGTATTTCATAGGTTTAAATTTAGCTGATTTAAACATTAGGATTATTGGTAAATACATGCTAAGATCATGTCAATATCTGACCACTTGTTCGAATATTCAGAAAAGTGCTGACATAATACCCCTGGTCAACGAGTACAGAACACTCCCTGCGGACTGATAATTATTCATCCTAACTGTTTCTTTGTACCAAGGATGCTCTGTCTCCGAAACATGTCTTAAGGACCACAAAGTGTAAAAGGCTTCATTATCGATTTACTTGGATTCTATGTACACGTTTCATACATAATATATGATGACGACCATGGTCTGAGAAAATGTTTAACTACGTTTGGAAAATACTGTGTAGATGAGAAAAGGTTTTAATGTTTTTGTTAACGATCTTTCAAGAACAAAGTTGTCAGGGATGTAAATAGAGCCAAAGGCTCGCATAATACAATTATTATTCCTAAAATATGATATTAATGACACGGAAACACACTCCCTTTATCATATAATGTCATTCTTAAAATTACTCTAAAAAAGAAGCAAATCGTACGTAAATATATATATGAAGAGAATCGAGCTTTCGCGTAAGAATACTTAGCGGTACACCAAGCTGAAGGTCGTTCATGACGGCGGCATATGGTTGTGACTAGTCGCTAATACAGTGCAAACATAATTCATGCCTAAAATAAGGATCTTTCTGTCTAAAAAGAAGAACAAAATCAGGCAGGGTTTTCTTGGTAGTGTTCCTATGTTCATTGCAGGTAATCACCTCATCACTATCAGTTTCTGATACCTGACGGAATCGATTCATCGTTTTCTTTGTTGTGATCGATAGATCGAAATCCTTGGTTGGTACCTTTCTTAGACGATAGCCTGTCACTCATGCCTCGTAATCCGTACCTTCAATTTGAATGAAGTTCTCCGTTACATGTTTTCCAAAGTCAATTACTGCAGTAACGACTCCAGAATATCTGTCATCAATTCTTACAGAATCACCAATATTGATAATGGGGGCAGCCATGTTTGTTTACAAACTCGTCCACGCAATGTAAACTCGCGACGACGTCATCAATGAAATGTTAAAACGTTTTAGGATTCTCATGGCATGTATGGAGTTTTGAGAAAGTAGTTCGTGGATTGACGTAATTTGCATAGTTATCAGATTTGGATACCAAGTTTATAAGATTGCTTTATTGCACTGATAACACCCTCCACTAGACTGACTGCGTTTGGTTTTACGCCGCTTTTAGCAATATTCCAACAACATCACGGCGGGGGACACCAGAAATGGGCTTCACACATTGTACCCATGTGGGGATTCGAACTCGGGTCTTCGGCGTGACGAGCCAACGCTTTAACCACTAGGCTACCCCACCGATGATAAATGAATATGTTTGTCTTGGTGCAATGCTTACGAACACGGGTACTAGTGTACACCTATCTCTATAGTGAGTGAGTGAGTATGGTTTTACGCCGCTTTTAACAATATTCCAACAATGTCATGGCGGGGAACACCAGAAATGGACTTCACACACAGTATCATTGTGGGGAATCGAACCCGGGTTTCAGCGTGACGAGCGAACGCTTGACAATGACAATACTTTATTACCCCAAAGGAAATTCCTTTTACATTTGATCACATGTGGTCACATAATTAAATATTAAATATGGCATAAAGGTTAAGAAAACACAAAACAACACAATAGGCAGACAAAGTTAACAGTCATTTAAAGCCACAAGACTACCCCACCGGTTTCCATTTCTCTGTACCACGGTTGTGAATTAAGATCCGGCGCTTATAAGAGACCCGGCGTTTATTTCTTAAACGGCTGCTTTACCCCCGGCGCTTGTTAGAGGCCGGCGCTTATTAAAGGAAATACGGTATTCGTTTTCTACTTTTGTTCACGCTTGAGGGGAACGGATGACATCTTCCATCTTGTTTCTCTTGGTATAAGTTGTGGACACCGTTATCAAATGGAGAAAAACAGAAAATCATAAATCCTGACGGAAGCTGTAGACTTAGTAGAGTCGCGATCGCTGAAATTGAGCAGCGAGAAAAAACAACGGGGAACAACTTATCATGGGGTCACACAAAGTCCGTGGTCTAGACTACCATTTGTCTGACCTCAGTTTTTGTGGAAGCCGCGGTGGCTGAGCGGGTTATGCGACTTTGAGTGTTGGCGATCAGGTGCCCGACTCTGAGAGCGTGGGTTCGAATCCAGGATGGGACTCAACCCAAGAAAAGTACTATGAAAGTGTAATCACAAATATAACGATATGTTAAACAGGGAACAAGTATGCATGATCCCTGTAACGGATTTCTCCTTGTTTACTAATATGATTTAGCATTCAAATGTTATCTCGTGACTGTGACTGTTCTTACGTGGTTTTTTTTTTCAAATTGTATTTGGTCAAACATTTGTAATTTACCATGCCCTAAAATATCAAAATCAGCAAAGTTGTTGATCAGTACTGACTTCAAAGTGGACCTTGACATGGATCCGTTTCGTTTCGTACTTTCCATTTCACGAAACCTACCTTTCAACATGTTGCTAATGAGTATGCAATGTTATACTTTTAAACGTTTTACTCATATATTTCCAACATGTAATTCGAAAACCAAAGCTATCAAACTTACTATTTCTCCTTTATGAACAGCCGGTGGCTCCCCGCAACACACAGTCAAACATTCTGATTCGTTGCCGTTCAGCTCCTTACAGACTTCAGTTTTCGTGCAGTTATGATTAGCGCATCCTCCAAGACTCATTGGCGGCCACCCACTTATATTACTGAACACATAGTCCTTTACATTTACCAAGTTGGTGGTAAAAGACTCCATTTTCGTTTTTTCGTTCAAGATGCAAAGGCCTGTATTTAGGTCAAAGTTGAAGGATAGGCATCGTCCATACATTTGACACTCCTTCACGCACTTTAGAACACTTCCGGTTGTTGTGTTCTGAAACTGTGAGCCAAGAAGGTAGGCATCCTGCTCAAGTTGAGAAAAGTTTGCCAAAGATGAACATACTGTTGTTTGTTTTGCTGACACAAGAAATATATTCAGCAGTATAAGAATGACCAGCATAGATTTACCCAGAGAGTTCAGTTCAGCGGATTTCATCCCTCGTCTAGTTTCAGCTTGAAGAACAGATATCTATGAAACTATTACTGTTTCACATGAAGTTTTCCATACAGTCTTCCGTCTCTGAAATCACCTGATCTCTCGACTAAATGATCGGATTTCTTCTTTTATCTGAAAACGTTTCAAGTTAAGCCAATTAGTGATGGACCTTGGCAGAGATCAATTAGATGTGTATCAAAAGACGCATTTTCAATTGGTTATTTCATACTGCAGTCGTTGGACTTTGTAATCAGATAATAGGATGACTTTGGACGACAGTGTTTACTACTATGTCTACAAACGCAGTTAACGATTCTAATTATTTCTTAGGTGTTTTTTGATTTTCAATTTTGAGAACGAAATATTGTATAACAAGAATTAGAGTTGCATTTTTCACAAATTTAAGCAGGATATACATGATTCGTGTCATTTGATTAGAACGTAGCCATGGTAACGAAGGGTTCAAAAGTATACATCCCATTAGACAGGAGGTATTGAATAATCCAGGATAAATTGGGAATAAACAGGGGAAACGCCGGAAGGAAATACAAGTTACAAGCAAACTCAATTCATTAGGAAACATATGTCGATGGGAATCACGAAACTTGGAAGCACAAGTTATTAGGAAATCCACGTCAGTAGAAACTATATGTCGATGAGAAACATGGCGGTAGGAAACATGATAGCAGGAAACAGATTAGTATTAAACCCACGCCAGTATGAAACATATGTCGATGGAAAATACATTAGAAGGAAAGACCTTAGTAGAAAATAAAATACGAAACACACACGTCATTAGGAAACAAATGTCGAAAGGAAACATGACAGTTGGAAGCACAACTTACTAGAAAACACGTGTCATGAGAAACCATATGTCGATGGGAAACATAACAATAGGTAAACATGTTAGTGGGAAATATATGTCAAAAGGAATAAGGTTGGTAGAAACCCATGTCAGTGGAAAACATATGCCATTAGAAAACACCAAAAATAGATCAGTAGGAAACACGCGCCAGTAGCAATCATACGTCGATGGGAAACATGACAATAAGAAACACAAGTTAGTAGGAAACACGCGTAGGAAACACGCGCCAGTAGCAACCATACGTCGATGGGAAACATGACAATAAGAAACACAAGTTAGTAGGAAACACGCGCCAGTAGCAATCATACGTCGATGGGAAACATGACAATAAGAAACACAAGTTAGTAGGAAACACGCGTAGGAAACACGCGCCAGTAGCAATCATACGTCGATGGGAAACATGACAATAAGAAACACAAGTTAGTAGGAAACACGCGTAGGAAACACGCGCCAGTAGCAATCATACGTCGATGGGAAACATGACAATAAGAAACACAAGTTAGTAGGAAACACGCGTAGGAAACACGCGCCAGTAGCAATCATACGTCGATGGGAAACATGACAATAAGAAACACAAGTTAGTAGGAAACACGCGTAGGAAACACGCGCCAGTAGCAATCATACGTCGATGGGAAACATGACAATAAGAAACACAAGTTAGTATGCAAAACACGCGTAGGAAACACGCGCCAGTAGCAATCATACGTCGATGGGAAACATGACAATAAGAAACACAAGTTAGTAGGAAACACGCGTAGGAAACACGCGCCAGTAGCAATCATACGTCGATGGGAAACATGACAATAAGAAACACAAGTTAGTAGGAAACACGCGTAGGAAACACGCGCCAGTAGCAATCATACGTCGATGGGAAACATGACAATAAGAAACACAAGTTAGTAGGAAACACGCGAAGGAAACACGCGCCAGTAGCAATCATACGTCGATGGGAAACATGACAATAAGAAACACAAGTTAGTAGGAAACACGCGTAGGAAACACGCGCCAGTAGCAATCATACGTCGATGGGAAACATGACAATAAGAAACACAAGTTAGTAGGAAACACGCGTAGGAAACACGCGCCAGTAGCAATCATACGTCGATGGGAAACATGACAATAAGAAACACAAGTTAGTATGAAACACGCGTAGGAAACACGCGCCAGTAGCAATCATACGTCGATGGGAAACATGACAATAAGAAACACAAGTTAGTAGGAAACACGCGTAGGAAACACGCGCCAGTAGCAATCATACGTCGATGGGAAACATGACAATAAGAAACACAAGTAAGTAGGAAACACGCGAAGGAAACACGCGCCAGTAGCAATCATACGTCGATGGGAAACATGACAATAAGAAACACAAGTAAGTATGAAACACGCGAAGGAAACACGCGCCAGTAGCAATCATACGTCGATGGGAAACATGACAATAAGAAACACAAGTAAGTATGAAACACGCGAAGGAAACACGCGCCAGTAGCAATCATACGTCGATGGGAAACATGACAATAAGAAACACAAGTAAGTATGAAACACGCGTAGGAAACACGCGCCAGTAGCAATCATACGTCGATGGGAAACATGACAATAAGAAACACAAAGTATGAAAGTATGAAACACGCGTAGGAAACACGCACCAGTAGCAATCATACGTCGATGGGAAACATGACAATAAGAAACACAAGTTAGTATGAAACACGCGTAGGAAACACGCGCCAGTAGCAATCATACGTCGATGGGAAACATGACAATAAGAAACACAAGTTAGTAGGAAACACGCGCGGGGAAACACGCACCAGTAGCAATCATACGTCGATGGGAAACATGACAATAAGAAACACAAGTAAGTAGGAAACACGCGTAGGAAACACGCGCCAGTAGCAATCATACGTCGATGGGAAACATGACAATAAGAAACACAAGTTAGTATGAAACACGCGTAGGAAACACGCGCCAGTAGCAATCATACGTCGATGGGAAACATGACAATAAGAAACACAAGTTAGTAGGAAACACGCGTAGGAAACACGCGCCAGTAGCAATCATACGTCGATGGGAAACATGACAATAAGAAACACAAGTTAGTAGGAAACACGCGTAGGAAACACGCACCAGTAGCAATCATACGTCGATGGGAAACATGACAATAAGAAACACAAGTTAGTAGGAAACACGCGTAGGAAACACGCGCCAGTAGCAATCATACGTCGATGGGAAACATGACAATAAGAAACACAAGTTAGTAGGAAACACGCGTAGGAAACACGCGCCAGTAGCAATCATACGTCGATGGGAAACATGACAATAAGAAACACAAGTTAGTATGAAACACGCGTAGGAAACACGCACCAGTAGCAATCATACGTCGATGGGAAACATGACAATAAGAAACACAAGTTAGTAGGAAACACGCGTAGGAAACACGCGCCAGTAGCAATCATACGTCGATGGGAAACATGACAATAAGAAACACAAGTTAGTAGGAAACACGCGTAGGAAACACGCGCCAGTAGCAATCATACGTCGATGGGAAACATGACAATAAGAAACACAAGTAAGTACGAAACACGCGTAGGAAACACGCGCCAGTAGCAATCATACGTCGATGGGAAACGTGACAATAAGAAACACAAGTTAGTATGAAAATCAAGTTAGCGAGGAACATGCTGGAAACAGGTTGGTAGGAAACACATGTCAATATCACACATACGTCATTAGAAAACACCAAAATCGGAAACACACAAGTCAGTAACAACCGCCGATGGGAAGCATGTCAATAGGAAACGTAGGTCGACGAGAAACACAGCAGTAGGAACCAATGTAGTGGAAAGCATGTTAACTGAAACAGGTTAGTAGGAAATCCATGTCAACAGGAAACATGTCATCAAAAAACAGGACAGTAGGAAACACACATGACAATAGGAAACACGCAAATCAGTGTAAAACAAATACATCCGTTTGGATTTAACCCAAAGCTTGAGTCCTACTACTTTTCCTACCTGTGAGCTGTGGAGTTCCGGCGTCGTGCCATCAGTGCAGGGACATCTTCACCTCTGTCTGTTACGATAAATATTGTACAGCCACTAAGTTCGTGGTAAACTGATCATTAGCGCCGATAACGATTGATTTTCTCCGTTAATGCCGGCGTCCATGAAATATAAATACAATACTCGGAAACCATGTCCACAACTTAACTCACTTGCTAACTTCAAACAAGTCATTATCGACACAGACGATGACGACACACGACGTCGACACACACCTACACGATGAACACAATACACACCTACCACACTTCACCAAGGACAAAGTACTTCAGCGTGTTAAACATTACCGTACATTAGAAGAAACATGGTCGCAATTGTTTGCCTTGCTTCGATATTAACAAACCGTTTACTAACATGATGGTTTGGACGTCATCGTTGACAAAACAAATTCATTAGACGTGTCAATGCGCCATAAAAGGTTTATTTCGGGACGTTTTAATGGATGGGTTAAAGGGATACGTCTTTAGAGCATAGGTATTTCTTAGTCCGTCCACTTGTCAATATCTGGTCATGGTTCCACACTTGCCTTTTCTGTGTTAACCGATTAATGGATTATTGCACATATCGATAATCATTAGAGAAGATTTTACAAAGTCAACATCCATGTTCCGATCTTGGCTTGTTTCGTTTCATCGTTTCTTGACGTGGTATATGTCACGTGACAACTACCTATACCAGTGAGAAAGTAAGATACTTCATGGATAACAACTTCTTTATTATATATGATGCGAGGTTTTGGCATAGATTATTATACCGTTGTCGACCCATGAAAGTCCGGGTTAGAGTGCATCTTCAGTAACCCACGCTTGTCGTTAGAGCAGACTAAAGGGATAGGGTGGTCAGGCTCGCTGGCTTGGTTGACACATGTCTTCGGTTCCCAATTGCGCAGGTCGATGCTCATGCTGTTGATCACTGGATTGTGAGGTCCAGACTTCATTATTTACAGACCACCGCCATATAGCTGGAATATTGCTGAGTGCGCCGTAAAACTCACTCACTCACCATATGCATGAAATCCAGCTACAGCTGTGAATAGGTTCATTATGAAGATTATATACAATAGAATATACCATTGAAGATAACTTAGATGAATTGTTTGTAAATAATTTAGACCTAAAAGTTGACATACGAGTTTTAACATCAACAGAAAGTGGGACTCTACCTAGTTCACCATAAAGCATATACAATGGGGTACTTTTCATTACAGGTAATAC